AGAGAGAACCAGAGTGGAGGGGCAAACAGAGTGGGAGACAAAGGATCCAAAGCGGGCTCTGTGCTGGCAGCAGAGAGCCCATTTGGGGGCTCAAACTCCCAGACCATGAGATCATTCATGACCTGAGCTGAAGTCGGATGCTTAATCTACTGAGCTACCCAGGCACCCTGGCTTTAAAACAATTTAACCTTCAGCCAGTGCATGAATTTAATTCATGACATTTTCAAAATTTCCCCGGTTTTGCTTAAATACTTAAATACTTAAGTATTAAATACTTAAATACTAGCAATGGCTGAGAATTCATTACTTCAAGAAACATTTACTTGGTCAAAAATTCTTTCTTAAATTATTTCAGTACTGTTTTCCTCAAAACTATAGCTTTCAGGGGGCGCCTGGGTGGCTCAGTAGGTTAAGTGTCCAACTTCGGCTTAGGTCATGATCTCACAGGTTTGTGAACTCGAGCCCTTGTCAGCAGAGCCTGTTTCAGATCCTGTCCCCCCCTCTCTGTGTCCCTCCCCTGCTCATACTCACTCTCAAAAATAAACATTAAAAAAAAGTATTAAAAATTAAAAAAATATATATGTAGCTTTCCTAAGGGCCCCACACATAATGTACAACATCCAATTCACTTATCCAAAACTTCTACATTATTTATATTTCCCTCCATATATACTGAGCCCTTTCAAAAATCTTATAAAGAAACCTGCTATATTCTACACTGAAACAGACTGCATCTGATGTAACAGCTTGAAAAGTACTTTTCTACAGGTGAATAACAAACGAATATAATCCCATTTCTATCCTATGACCACAGGAAAACATCTTTAAATTGTGTTAGAGAAAAGTACACTTGAGTGAGCACAACCTATATATATATACATATATATACATATACATATACATATATATACACACACACATATATATATGTATTTTTTTTGCTGAACATAAGATTGACACACAGGATTATACACACTCTGGTTTATGAAAATTTACATTACAGTTAAATAGTATTCTCAATTTTTATTTTCATCCACATTTCACATACCTGGTCAGCTAACATAAGTACAGTTTTCATTGTGAACCTTCTTGAACAGAAATTGAAGAGGTCTTCGAGGCTGGGTCCGAGAAGATCCATGACTAGCACATTGTAGTCTTTTTCCTGACCATACCACCTAACAAAAGGGGAAAAGAGAGGGCTTTATGAAAAGCTGATTATCATTTAATATCACTAAATTTTCAAAATTCTTAAGCCCTAATAATAGGATAGTTTTTTACTTCTCCGGATGCCCGGGTGACTGATTATGGCTCAGGTCATGATCTTGCAGTTCATGGTTAGAGCCCCACATTGGGGCTGCAGTGCAGAGCCTGCTTGGGTTTCTCTCTCTCCTTCTCTCTCTCTCTCTCTGCCCCTCCCCTTCATGTGCATGCTATCTCTCTCAAAAATAAGTAAACATTAAAAAAAAAAAAAAAA